GCCAGTTTGACTTCCGTTGGACTCGGAGCTACTCCCTGAAGGAGTAAAGCTTATTATTTTTTTTTTACCTATGTTTGTCGTGAGGTGCTCGTGCTGAACTCTTTGAAGTCTTGATAATTGAGATGTGGATAAGTAAAGTCTTTTTTTTTTTTTTTTAAATCTATGTATATGTTGCGAGGTGCTTGTGCTGGAGTCTTGATGTGGGTTATGTATGGTAGAAGGAGAGGAGGCGGTTGGCTGGTCCGCCTTAGATGGCGACAGTGAATGAATGATACCGTCATCTGCTCCACCGACATCAAAAGTTGTTATGACATTTAGGAAGAGTATACCCGCGTGTATACACAGGTGGGAATGTGTGTTGCTTGCGGGCACGTGGTAAGGTCTCTGACATTTCTTTCTGTGTGTGTGTGTGTGTGTGTGTGTATGGTTAGGCTCAGCCTCAGGTACGCAGATCAGATCACGAACGTTACGGATATCGGTATTACCAAGATGACATCGTTATGTGTTGGTAGATGGACACGTGGATGGACATGTGGATCCGTGAAGGATGGACGGATGACCTCATCTCATTCCAGTTTCACTTTTGTTGTCGTAGACGGAAAGGGCAAGGAATGATAGGGGAAGTGATGTTTCTGTTTTTGTCTTTTTTTTTTTTTTTTGCAAGTGAAGGGAGGGAAGGGGGGAGGAAGGGAGGCAGGGAGGGGGGACGGTGAACGGCGAAGGTAGAGGCATGGTGGGCTCCGAGGATGTTAATGGATATTGGGGGCCGATCACAACAGGTAACGAGTGGTGCGAGACTAATTACGTGGTGACGAAGTATGTGGCGGAGTTTTACAACACCATCTCGAATCTGGTGTCACTGTTGTTGAGTTTACTGGGTCTCGTCTCGTGTATCAGACAAGGATTTGAGAGAAGATTCATCTGCCTCTACCTGTCGGTGATTGCCGAGGGCATCGGGAGCGCGCTTTTCTATGCAACGCTGCACAATGTGTATGTCTCCAATCAACCAACCATCCAACCAACCAAACAACCAACCAACCAATGAAGCAATCAATCGACCAGTAAAAAAACAATCAAGAAAGGAATCAGCCAAACGATAATCGATCACATCTTTCAACCCGCGATTTAGTCGCTTGACATCGTATATTATCATGTACACAAAGGTACACGGGTTGATGATCGAAAAGGTCGGGCTCGATCAGTCGATGAGTCGATCTGTCGCTCGTGGAAAGACGAAACAACAGAAATACAAAAAATTATCGTACCCTCTGTCTCCATGTGTCTGTATTGATATGGATGGGGAATGAGTGTGTGTGTGAGGGGAGGGTAGAGGTAGGGGAGGGGGGGAAAAGGACGCGCGCATGATCCGCCCCGCCCGCCTCACACGCGGGTGAAAGTACGTTTTTTGGGTATGAATGATCTCTCAATATTCAGCGCAGTTCTGTTTTTCTATGTTGCACATTCCGCCGCGGGGCTCAGTCCTCCCCCCTATAGAATGAATAGATGTGCATCGGATTCGGCGTATGGGCCTCCCCGCCGCACTAGTTGTCATCAGTGCAAAACGGAGAACACCACATCTTCTGCTAGAGCAAGCAAATACACTGACCATAGTTTTTGTCTTTTTCACCTTCGGTGAGTGTTGCGGCAAGGCATATATCTCGAGTAGAGCTTTGAGAGAGGAATTCAACGACGGTGAGTAGTAGTTAGGATAGGAGGGGTCCTGTTAGGATAGGAGGGGTGCTAGATTGGGCGGCGGCGATAGGAACCTATAGTAGCAGCAGAGTAAACAGAAAGCGGACTTAGGATGAGCGAAGTACCAACCCGTTTGTGTGTGTGTGTGTGTGTGTGTGAGAGAGAGAGAGAGAGAGAGAGAGAG